TTGACATACAGAATTTCTCATTGTTACCATTAATAATTGAAATCGTAAAATTTGCATAACTATTATTTCCATTGCTTTTATTGCTTCTTTTTCATCGAATAAATAATTTAAATAACGCCACAAAATATTCGTATAATAATTTTGATATTCAAATAATATTTTCATGTTTTTATATTCATAGAATTGTGTAATATCAAACCATGAAGATAAATTAACACTAAAAATAAGTACAACTAGTGCAAGTTTTAATACTAATGGATGATTTATAAAACGATAGAAATATTGACGTGTTCGTACTATTTGATAATCAAAATCTTTATTGATCCATTTAGATAGACATTTATCAAGATTTGAACAATCTTGAAAGTTATATATTATTATATGATGTAAATGTATGATTGTAAGTAAATTAGATTTTATCAACAGAATTTGATCATTTTTGTCTAATTGTTTAAATTCAGGTATACATTTAAAAAAATTAATTAATGATTCGTACATAATAGTTTCATCATTTATAAACTGTGAAAAAGGTGTTGATGATGTATATTTATCAATATAAGAATAATCATTTTTATCTACTACTAATTGATAAGCATTATTTATATTATTCAATAATATTCGATCCTCATCATTTAGAATATCATTCGAACTACAACAATGCATTTTGGTAATCTAGAAAGGAAAAATAAAGACTATTATTATTATTATTATTGAATTATTTTTATTTACTGAATTAACAACAGTTTGTTCATTTCTTGATGATATCAATGAACGTTTTCTCTTTCTTAAAGCAGTTGAAAGAGTAAGAAGTGGTTGTTTATTTGATAGAATTTGTTTCAATTGTCTATTTGCTAATATTAGTAAATGTCTTGATTTTTTTTCTTCATCACTAAGAATCAATTCTTTACGCATTTCAACGTCAAAACACTTTTGTAATCGACAATATGCACAATGACGACGTGTGTGAATATTAATAACACAAGAACCCGAAGATTGACATCGTAGCTCAGACTAAAAAGAAAAATTATCGCTGAGTTGATATTTGCTTGTAATTCAAAAATTTTCGAATTAATATCCTCTATAAAATTTGCATGAAAATGACTTTTGTTAACTGTATAGTGAATTATGTATAAATTAAAAACTCTACAATCGACTACATTGATATGTGGAAATTACTGTATATATATGTCATAGGTAAAATTGATATTATATTAGGCGCATAATTTTAGCTGTATTTTTTTTTTGTAATTTAGAAATGATTTTCTAATTATCATTTGCATTCAGAAATTTCGGCAGATTACTTGATTATTTCATTAATGAACATATCAATAATCTTTGTGCAGATATAACAGATACGATACATGTTGAAGGTTAAACTAACAGACAACAAAATTTTATGCTATAAATTATTTATTTATTCGTTTTTGCAATAGTATTTTTTTTTAGTCCGACTGAAGATAAAAAAAACTCTTTCTCATAGCAGAAATTATTCGTGAATGCAATACTTAACATAGCGTGTCTACTAATAAACATCATATAGTAGGGATTGTTTGATGAATATCTCTTGTCTTTCTATATTAAGAATAAAATGTAACTGATCATGTATAAAGGTATGGATAAAGAAAAAACAAACTATTCTCAAACCATATGATTACTAATGATATTTTATATATTTTTTATTCTCATTTTGTTCTCTTTTTTTTTCCCTCCTTTCCTTTTTTTTTTGTTTTTACTTACTGTAATATTCTTTCTTACAATCAACCTGCGCATCGAATCAACGATAAAAACCACAAAACTCAAACAGCCACTAAAACTAATTCTCACCTCATAAACATATTCAAGTTCTATAAGCAGTACTTGTTCATATATTATAATAAAACACGACTATATAATATACACATTTTACCATGACATCATCACATTTGAATAACAGTTACAAAATCCTACATCTTCCGAAATTTAATGATGATTTAGATAGAAAAGCTATATATATATATATTCTAACAATATTAACTTCAGCTTTCACATGTATCCTATATTCATATTGTTTCGTAAGAGCTTGCAAAAGTCTTACCTAGAAAACTCCGTTCACACCTTAGTTAAGAAATACTTATTTATCATTTATCGATATACATATCGAATGTCAGTGGAACTAATATTTTGCGTATTTCCAGGATTCAGTAAGACCAACTAATAGTGGCGGAACTAGGATTTTGCAGTATCCTGGATCTCAGCTTTAGAGTATGGGTCCCAGTTGAAATTTATGGAGGGATGATATTGGCCTCAAATGATGAGTTTCTATCCAAAAATTTTTGCGATAAGAGTTTGTTAAAAAAATTAGCATTTTCCTGAGCTCCCCCCACAAAATTTCTAATACTGTCCGTAGTATCCTATTTCTAAGCATGCCATCGTATGGTACGTTGAATTTAATCGATAGATTTCAAATCTCATATAAAAATATATTTTTATATGAGATTTGAAAT